AGGCATGCTAATAATAATAATAAAAAAAAAAAGAAAGGAACAAATTAAAGAAAACATAACTACAACTGATTAACAGAAAGAAATCGCACAAGTTCGTAATCATGGATTTCGAATTCTCCATGATTGACAGAACCAGCATGGTCCTGATTTCCGGGGCAATGTCAAATAGTTTGGATAGGTTTAAAATCCGAAAACTAGAAGGGCAACCACTACTTTTACCAGTCAACGAGGAGGTCAGACCTATGAAGGACCGAGAAGTTGTACTAGCAATAAAAGAAATTAAACGAATTTTTAAATGCAAGGAAGTATTACGTGACGCATGTTTAGGCCAGATAAAGTTAAGTCTAAAATCTAAGATAAACAATTTAAATACAGCATACATAGAAAATTATATAAGCCGGGGGGAACAGAAATACGTGATCGTGTTATGGAATGAGGAGTCAGACAAACGGGTTCTAGACAAATTAGGAATTAAAGAATATCCAATTCTAAATATGAGATGTTATGATACTCTGTTCAACCAACAGTTTAGTATCCAATTTCAGATGATGAACACAAAGCAAATCATATACGAAATGGATATAGGAACTTTTAACAAAACAGGAAGATTACTAAACCTAGAAGAAACCAATAGTATAATTTGTCAGAAAAACCATAAAATAACACACGCGCACGATCCAAAAACAGATGTTAGGTTCACTAAATGCATATTTGATAACGTAATTCCTAAGCTAGGTTATGATAGACTAATCGAATATTTTTAAGATTATAATTGAAGAAAAATATATAAACATATAAGTATTTTAAACTAATATTAATAAGTAAGTAACTTGTATATATAGGTGTAAGGCAAAAGTACTAAAACTGTCTTCGTTTTGAGGTATGAAAATACAGATTGCGACTCATGATGATTAAAAGGAGTGGTAATACCTGTTTTTGTATGTGAAATCGGAAAACAACTAAGTGTGAGTATTTTACAGTATGGATATGCTGGCAACGATTCATGACCTATATACGAAGAGTCGGGATGTGCACATCTATATTGTGAAATACCAGATGAGGGGGAGAAGTAACGTACAGTAACGAGGAATTATGACAAGTTAAAAGGAAGGTTAAGGACAATAATAATTAATTAGAGCGATGTTGGCCAGGTAAATAACTTTTGAGATTATGAGTANTGAAAGAAAAAAAATGATTTTTTATTTATTTGGGAAATTCTATGAAAAAAGATTAACAAACTGGTTAAACATTTAAATTTTGTTTTGAAATTACAGGGAGATTGGATGCACTGTAAGGGGAATTTGTTCCCTTGATTTTTTTTCATCTCCCTGTAAAAATGGAGCCAAACTCCCCAAACACATACTACTTAGCTCATGATCTCTTGAAGCTGCGGGTGTGTGGCTTATACTTGTATGTCATTCGTAGTGACGTAGTGGTCGCAATGTCAATGGCAAAAGTCGGTCGTCAGACTTTTGTTCCGATTTGTTTCGTTTTCTTCAACCGTTTCGGCTTTTAAGACGCCGTTTATGACTGAACCGCGTATTAAACGTCTTTTAAAAACCGTATATATGCGGTTTTCAACTTAAATCGGTTCGTAATCTACGCAGCAATAATCTTTATAAATAAGTAATGACGCCGGCGTGCGGTGACCGACCGTGTAGACGTGTATATACTATATACGTCATGTATATACGTAATCGATATTCGCGTATGATTTAATAATTATTGACGTCAAACGCTTTAATAAATATAAATTAGTAATTGCCATTTACCTTTTGTGTGTTGTATAGTGTTTAAGAATTATATAATTATATGAAGGTAGGTAGGTACATATTTATTTATTTTTAGTCTTCTTCTCCTTATACTATAAAACGTGAACCCGAGGGCGCCCTCAGTGCACTAATTTCGCATCTACTTAATAGAGAACCAATGAAAACACTCCGTTTCCCCGCCGGCGGCGGCGAGCGTAATCACCATCTCTTATAACTACTATATTTGAGATTTTTCACTGTTAGAGATTTTTTTCAAACTCTTCGAGTTTTACTCCCCTCGGGGTCGACCCGTTTGCGTCTTATTCGCGTTCCTCGCTAGATTTATAGCCGGCGCGCTATCCTACTTTTTCAAAAACCGAGTCCCTTATCCGACGAGTCCGTCGGCGATGACACGGCGTCGTCGCGATTTCGACGGTTTTTGCGACTTTTTCAAACAGAGTGGCGTTTCGCTTCGTTTGGATACTTTTCACCTCCCCGCCGAATACGTATTCGCGTTCCCCGCTAAATTTATAGTCGTTTCAAAAACGAGTCCCCGGGAGGAGCGGCGACGCGGAAACGAGAGTAGGTACATTATAGGTATCGCTATATACAGGCATTAATACAATTTAAGTTCAATTTTTTTCGCGAATCTCACCGATTTGAACGTCCGAAGCCGGTCGAGACGGTCGTCCGCTTCCCGACGCGGTCGATCCCCCCGCTCGGACGCCCTTCGGGGGACGCAGACACCGTTTCGGGTGGACGGCGACGCGACTTAAGAGTCGTAGATTTGACACCGGTTGTCATCTCGATAGGCGGTTAGGTAGGTGTAGGCATAGGACAAACAACTCGGGGTCGTGGGTTCGATCCCGTCCCCCGGCGATGTCGATGATTTGCGGTGGCCGTGATAATTCGATCTTTTTTTTCGTCTTTTCGCTGTCGGTTCCGTCTTATCATATTTAACGAATTTGCTCCGATTTTTTTTCAAAATTCGAGTTTTACCGCCTTTATCATGGACCCTCCCCGTCCAAGACTTATTCACGTTACCTTAATAAGTAGTATTTACATGTATATATATTTAATTATGTATTTAGTTATGCAGTTTATTATTATGACTATACTATACTAATTAAACTATTTAATAAATAATAATACTAAAGAGGTACTTGATGGATTATGACAATACTATAACTATTTAATAAATAACAATAAGAATAATTAATACTTGATTTTATTATCTACACATTTACCATGACCAACGCATCTATATTTTTCAAAAGGGCTTCATTGTTTATTTCTTTTATATTTGAATAGACAATAGTACAATATAACTAACCTACATGTATACTTTTTAGTACCTACTACCTACTTATAATAGGTATATAATAGTTTTTTTTAAATAAAACCTATCGGTTATTTTTCCAAAACCGTCAACATTTTCCCTTTTCGCCTACCGTTCGCCGTTCGCCGCCCCTTTTCGGCGCCGTTCGCGCTCCCGTCGCGTTTCTCACGAGTTTTCCCGGTCGGTAGAATCGGGTTTCCCTCCATCCACGAATTTTTAAATGCAAGGAAGTATTACGTGACGCATGTTTAGGCCAGATAAAGTTAAGTCTAAAATCTAAGATAAACAATTTAAATACAGCATACATAGAAAATTATATAAGCCGGGGGGAACAGAAATACGTGATCGTGTTATGGAATGAGGAGTCAGACAAACGGGTTCTAGACAAATTAGGAATTAAAGAATATCCAATTCTAAATATGAGATGTTATGATACTCTGTTCAACCAACAGTTTAGTATCCAATTTCAGATGATGAACACAAAGCAAATCATATACGAAATGGATATAGGAACTTTTAACAAAACAGAAAGATTACTAAACCTAGAAGAAACCAATAATATAATTTGTCAGAAAAACCATAAAATAACACACGCGCACGATCCAAAAACAGATGTTAGGTTCACTAAATGCATATTTGATAACGTAATTCCTAAGCTAGGTTATGATAGACTAATCGAATATTTTTAAGATTATAATTGAAGAAAAATATATAAACATATAAGTATTTTAAACTAATATTAATAAGTAAGTAACTTGTATATATAGGTGTAAGGCAAAAGTACTAAAACTGTCTTCGTTTTGAGGTATGAAAATACAGATTGCGACTCATGATGATTAAAAGGAGTGGTAATACCTGTTTTTGTATGTGAAATCGGAAAACAACTAAGTGTGAGTATTTTACAGTATGGATATGCTGGCAACGATTCATGACCTATATACGAAGAGTCGGGATGTGCACATCTATATTGTGAAATACCAGATGAGGGGGAGAAGTAACGTACAGTAACGAGGAATTATGACAAGTTAAAAGGAAGGTTAAGGACAATAATAATTAATTAGAGCGATGTTGGCCAGGTAAATAACTTTTGAGATTATGAGTATTTTCTTTACCATACAAGTGTTCAAACTGAGAAACAAAATGGCACAATAACCTGTCTGCATATTCATTATTTATCAAGTTTAATTTAGGAGACAAAAGTATTCGCATCGCAACACTTAAGGTAAAAAAATGTTCCATTATAGTGCTTGACACTAACCCTTTTAAACACAAAATACTAGTATACAATAAAAATTGTCTACTTTCTGTTGCTTTCCATCGGTTAGCTTGACTAAATGGATGTGTTCTCGAATTTTCATTTGCAGATCTTTGAAATTCGGTAGGTATATAAATTCAGTGGCGGATATACGGGGGGGGGATATGGGGGATAAATCCCCCCCCGGTGGGCTGTGGGTTAAAAAAATTTGGCAGCCAATGCAATGCAATTTTTGCAATCACAATTATTTAAATAAAAACTATTTTTTTATTATTTCGTTTTCATTATCTCGTAACCAAAAAGGATACACATCGTATCTAACTTCATATCAGACTATCATAATATGGCCATATTATCTATGCCATAGACGTATTATTGAATTATTCTGTGATAACCATGTGATAACTGATACAACCTACCAACTACGTCTTGCCGGCTTCCAAACATTGATATTACAATTGATTATCTATGTTTCCAAACCGTTAATAGGTTAAAATGTTAAATGTTGATCGATTGAGACTCGCGCTTGTGTACATTTGTTTGTAAATCATTTTCTCTTACGCATTCTTGTTTATGAGTTTTATTATTATTATTCCAATTTATTTTATTGTTGAGTTTTTTTGATTTTACTTCTCGAATACATTATACATCTATCATGGATACTTCTAATAAAAATGCATCAATATTACAATTTTTAAAAAGAAAAAATTCAAATTCACCACCACGGGCAGATAACTCACTAGGTTTTGATGTGACTAAATCAGGTAATCCTAAACAAATGAAAATTAATGTTACTGAACAGCAACAGCCTAATGAAGAAAAAATAAGCAATGGAGATACAAATGTAAGTTATTTTTTATTTTATTTTTCAATTTAATATAGTTATTTTTCTAGCTTTCCTTTGCCTTGATTTTTCGATTGGCACTTCTTAAAATTAGTTTTATTATCTTGAGCGCTTACAGTTCAGTAGTATTGTAATATGTACTACACTTTGTATATAATATTATTTATTTTTCACTTCTTTCTGCAAGACTAAAACAAATTGCTTGACCAACTCTGCTATAACAATAAGAAATAATGACATTGCTTTATTTATTGATCGCAATTTAAATGATGAAGAAAAAGTAGAGGTAAGTTAATTAATAGATATAGTTGCTATAGCAATTTAAATTTTATTTAAACATTTATTTTACTAATGCTATTAATTGTGCACATGCCTATTGTAAATTATGGCTTGTATATAGGTACATGCAATTATGATTAATTAATATATATATATATATAAAATATATAATACTATAATGTATAGGTGCTTAAAAATGTTTGGGTACCACCAAAGATGTACAAGTATCCCATATTAGAGCATAATAAAAAAAGAGGTTTAAGGTTCCAAGCAAAATGGTTTGATGAATTTCCTTGGCTTGTGTACTCAGAAATTAAAAGTGGTGCATTTTGTCAAAAATGTGTTATATTTTCAAAAACTGGTGGTGCTTTAAAACAACCCCTTGGCCAGCTTGTATTGCGAGAATTTAATAATTGGAAAAAAGCTAAAGAGGTTATTAAAATAAAAATATAGTATATTTTGGAAATATTTATTTAAACTATTATTTTCACTATGAAATTTTTTAGGTGTTTCAAGATCATAGTAAATTAACTTATCATATAAATGCTACATTAGATGCAGAACATTTTCTAAACATATTAGAGAAAAGAGAGAAAAGCATAATTGAACGAATAGACAATGATAGGTTTGTATAATATTCTCATTAGTCTATGTATTAATTTAAAATTAATTAAATATTTTTTTTTTTTAGGAGACTTCAAATAAAAGAAAACAGAAAACATTTAATTCCTATAGTTGAATGTATCATAATGTGTGGTAGACAAGAATTAGCATTACGTGGTCACAGGGGAGAAACAAATAAAACATTGAGTGTGAATGATGGTTAGTGTATATTATTACATACACTGTGGTTTTATTACAATTTTATAATATGCATTTCAAATTGTGTAGATGACAGCAATAATATTGGTAATTTCCTTTCTATTTTGAAGTATAGAGCTAAAGGAGATGAATTTTTAAGAAGTATATTAGAGAATGAAAAACAACACATCAAATATTTAAGCCATGGCATTCAAAATCAGATTATAGAAATATGCAATAATATAATATTAAAACAAATAGTATCTAAAGTTAATGAAAGTAAGTGCTTTTCAATTTTAGCCGATGAGACTACAGATATTTCTACATCAGAACAGTTGACCTTATGTGTGCGATATATTGATGAAAATGGTAATTTAAATGAAGATTTTCTTAAGTTTATTGAAGTAGAAAACTTAACTGGTAGTCATTTATCTTCTGCAATACTAAATGGTAATAAATAATAAATAAAAATTTGTATAAGAATAGTTAAAGTATAGTTATAAACACCTATACATTTTAAACTATTTCATCAGGTTTAATTGAGTGTGGCTTGGATTGTCAGTACTTAATAGGACAGGGTTATGATGGAGCCAGTAATATGAGTGGAAAATGTCGAGGTGTACAATCATATGTTCAAATTCAATATCCTAAAGCTGTAAATGTACACTAAATCTCGCAGTTTCGACAGCCAGTGATATACAACAAATAAGAAATTGTTTAGGAGTTATTGAAAAAATGTATACTTTTTTTAATACGCCCAAACGAAGTGCTGTCATATATAATGTTATTGAAAAAGAAAATGCAGATTTAAAAATTAAAAAATTAAAAAGACTTTGTGCAACTAGGTGTATTCAAAGATATGATTCAGTGAATGATTTCTCTGAATTACTACCATATGTTATGCTTTCTTTGGACGAAATATCGGAATGGAAAGATTCGTCTGATGCGTACATGTTAAGAAATGCAATTGATACTGAATTTTTAATTTCACTGTTTGTCATAAAAGTATGCACATTAAAAGGAATAAAAATTTATTTTATTATCTTTTTTATTTGTATACTTGTAAATAATGCACCTTGAATTTATTAATGTCTGTTGTAGGAATTATTTTCATTTGGATTACCATTATGCAAGCAATTACAAAGCCAAAGAATTGATCTCAAATATGCCATAGAAATTGCACAGGATACAATTACTGCTTTAAAAAATATCAGAGAAAATGTGGAGGAAGAATTCAAAGTTATATATAGTTCCATGGAGGTAATAATTATATTACCTAAATAATACTGAATATATTAATGCATGTAATATAATTTATTTATTTTATTACATTTTCATGCGTACAGAAAATGTCAGATATTATTAATGTTGAAATTAAGAGAAAACGTTTAAGTAGTAAGCAGAAAAACAGGGCTAATCATAACTTCAATAATGAAAATCAAGGGTTAGAAGATTATTTTAGGATTTCTGTGTTTATTCCCTATATTGATTATTTTATATCACAGTTAGAATTAAGATTTCTGGCACATAAGCAAGTCTTTGAAGGTAAATTAAGAATTTTAATTTTTGTTAATAAATACCTTGTGACTTAAATGTATTTTTAAATTATAGGCTTTGAATGTTTATTTACAACAAATAGCTCTATGTCGTCTAAAGAACGGAATAGTTTCCAAAAATTATTAGAATTTTATTCACCATTGGTTAATCATGATATTTCTACAGCTACAGCAGAGTTTAAGCTGTGGAAAACCAAACTTTCAAGAACTCATACAGTTCTTAAAACTAGCATTGATGCACTTGCATTATGTGACAAAAAAATATTTCCCAATGTACATTACTTGTTAAAAATTCTTTGCACATTGCCCGTTTCCACGGCTACCCCTGAAAGAACGTTCTCGACATTAAAAAGACTTAAAACTTACTTGAGAAATTCTATGGGTCAGGTAGGTATATAGTATATATTAATGATAAATACATTTTAACATATATTTATTTATATTTTTTTTTTTATGTACCTAGAAGCGACTGAATGGGCTTGCCATGTTGTCTGTCCATAGGACAATACAAGTAAAACCCGATGAAGTCATTGATGCAATGGCACTGTCATCAAGAAAATTAAATTTAGTATTGTAAATTTAATATAGAATAAAGCTTATATACCTATACATATTATGTACGAAAATATTTTATATCCCCCCCCCATGAATAAATCTTAGATCCGCCACTGTATAAATTGCACAACTGGAAAGCCGTTCATTCATGACTGTAATTAGTCCAGTGGGTAGCTTAGTTGGATGTTTTGTACTGATCCAATATCTTATGATTTTTTGAACCACACCTTCCAATACCAAATGCATGTAGTCAAGAACCACATCATCCACTAAAGAAAATCCTGGTATTTGATCCAAAATAGTAGGTTGCTTATGGTAATCATGGTCACAGTACTGCGTAAAACTTTCATGACTTCTTAATGTTGAAACAGTTGTGGGAAAACAAACTTTTCCCAGCCAAAATCCTTTAACATGACATTTAGAGCAACTATCAAAACTATTATGGCCCTTAATGTTTAATAAAAAGGCCTTAGCAGGAGCATCTGCCACTAACGCATTCAATTTAATTTTTAAAAGTCGTTCACCAATAATTATTATTAGGTATTGTCTAGACCAGGAATGGCAAACTTATGACATGCTGATTTAAATATTTTCTCAATTTCAAAAATCAGTGATTTAAATTCTTCATAGGTACTTTAATGATACTTGAAATTAATATAGTAAAATACAACAACTGATTTTCTCAATTTTGTTGTATAGAAATATGGAACCAACATTACAATTCATAATTATATCCAAATTATATTAACAAATCTAATTAAATACAAATATTATATTTATAAGTAATTACTAATAATATTAAATAATGTTATAATAGCTTATAATGTCATAAACGTCAATAAGTGTAATAGTGTAAATGTTTTTGTAATTAATAAGAAGCTTATTGTATCTTTAATGGGTGTATTTTTAAATTATTTATGTAATACTGACTAGAAAACTAAGATAAATAAATTTTTTATTTGTTTTTGACACGCAGATTTAAGGTACCAGTTTGTATATACCTGGTCTACCAACTACGCGAATACTTTAGAGTTCAGAGCATAATAATTAATAGGTACTAAGTATAATAAAACAACTACAACTTGTCTGTGTACGCGTACACGTTGACCACAATATAATGCAATACAGATTACAATAGTACCTACCTATGTAATATAAAGTAAATACTAAACTTACTTGTCTCGAATTCGGTTTATAGTTGAACGGTCGTTGCCTGTTTTACACCATTAGACTACACTACTAGCTACAGTTTACGATAATTAAATAAAAGGTTCTTTTCTGTACGGACGTGCGGATGTCGGACATTACTACATTACAGATATTACCAATAAACATATCAGTCTAGCGTACATTTGTCTAACACCGAATCCAAAACCGTTTGTCCGTGTTATATAAATACATACGTAAATATTGGCTAGTTAACAGTGTAGCCAGATTAAACCAAAAATATATCCTATTCTCGTAGACACCATTAGGACACCATTCAATAGGATTTCTATTGTGGTGGTCCAGAATTGGTCGAACTCAGTACATGTCACTATTTAAACACTTATGACACCAAAAACACCAACTTGACACCACTGGTCCTGCACCGGGATAGGACACGGTCCCAACACCAATTTTCAATAAAATATTTCTACCCGGGCGATTAATCGTCGGGTCTGGTAAGGAGGCACTCACAACGTTGTCGACGTCCTCGGCGTCAAGCAACTTAATGTCGTACCTAAGGATGATCAGTATGTGTGCGTGAGGTAGACCGCGTTTCTGAAATTCAACAGTGTATATATAAGCATTTACATTTCCAAAAATCCAATTAACCGTTATGTCACGCATGAGGTCCTTAAGTTTAGCGTGGAACACCCGGGCCACCATGTCAGGCCTGTCATTAGCCGAAGTGTGCGTCCCTAGGTTATCCCTGATCTCTGGCCATCTAGGATTGCATGTAAAAGTAATGAACAGGTCAGGCTTACCGTATTTTCTCACAACGGCCATAGCGTCGTGGTAACACTGTTTCATGTAACGCGGACTTCCAACGAACGTTGACGGTAAAATGACCCTACGGCCGACGGCCAAGGGGTCAGGTGCATCCACGTGTAGCTGTTGATTGACGTAGTCCACNGATGATACTAGTTTGAAAACGATAAGACAAAGTCGGGGTGCCAATTTCCAGCACTTTTGTTGTAAGTAGGTTCTCGTATACTTATCTCTATTATGTACCAACTGAAGTGTTCAGCCTGCAGATAACTAGATTATCCTCATTTTACTTATTGTTGAGGACAAATAAAAGAAAATTCGTTATCTCGTTTACTACGATAATTGGCTTGCAATAATTCGTTTTGCAATAATTTAGTAAATAAAAATGATATTTTTCTGGTTTTCCTGCCAAACCAAAGATGTTTTCTCTATGCATAATATTCCACGAAAAACCCGTTTTTGATAAGAGTGGACTTATGTGATAGTGGCACTGAACTTCATACGTACCGTGGCAAATACCATGTTTAATTTAGATATAGTCAAATTGCACTTTTTACTATTAGACAATAATTGTTATAGTTATCTACTCATTTTTTTGGTTCAACACGTGGAACGAAACAGTTTTTGTCGACATTTACAATTCAAAATAGAATGTATTTCATCCGCATATACAACAGCGTCATAATATCTGCTTCATTTTTAGAGAACTTTTCCTAGACTGTCCATTGTTTATGTATGTGGTTAAGTTTTTTTTATGATTAAAGTTTTCACTGTGACGGCCAACTGCTCATTTCGTAAATACTTTCAAAAGTACTTTAAATATTATACCGTTTTAGTTTATTCCATTCGTCCTCTTGTAAACTATACAGCGAAGATCAAACACATAAGTCAACATAGATAAAGCCATTTACCACAGACGGTAGTCGTTAAGATCAAATTTAAGGTGCAATAGTTATAATATTTTTATACTTTTTTTAATTTACAAGAATTTCAGCACCGTTTTCATTTGACACACATTGAATTTGATGGTTTGAAGTATTTTTATTTACCCATTTGATCAATATCATCACTCACCATACTTAACAGTAGTTACATACTCATGGACGATGGTAGTTATAAGGTATAATGTATAAATTATAATATATTAGATGATAAAAGACAGACATTTACCTTTAATGTCTTATGCAGGTCTTTGTGAACTTCAAGGAATAGATGGTCGAGTGGTAGACGTGGTTTTAGCCTTAGGTAGGATGTTTTCCTCGAATTTTGAAATGGACCGCGAATTTCGGACAACTTTGGTTTTATTTATATATTATCGTGGGAGTTTTTGAATTATTGGTTAATTAGAATGTTGAAAGTTGAAAGAGTAATACCGTATCTTTACATGAGTAGTGGTTCTTTTTGATAAAACTCGATGGCTTTCATCAGTACTACTCTCAGAAATTAATTTTGGAAAATTTAAAATTTTTAATTTTCGCCTGGAATCTGAATCTCTAGTTGGTAGTGGTTTTGTAGTATTTCCGTTTATAATAATATAGATGATATTTTATTCTGAAGCCTTGAACTGTAACTTAATAAAGGGTAG